CCCGCCACAATGCCCTGCTCCTTTTTTGTTGCAGTTGTCATTGTGTAGCTGGCCCCGGCCGGGTTCAAACCCGCCAGCCTTGGTGTATGCGGCCAACACCATAACCACTCTGCTGTGGGCGCCGAGCCCTCATTTCAAATTTTTACAGCCTTAAGCTTTCTTTAAACGTGTACTGTAAAACAAAACAAGGCAAAAATTATATTTTAAATATCAAATTAACCATATTTTACTCAAAATGTCACGTGTATAAAAGGATGAACTTGTTGGCTTATACTGTTCTTTTCTCTCCTTCTCAAAGGATGTACTGGGTGGCGTCCTGATCACCGGGCTCCTCATTGTCCTCACGTACCCAGCCTGGACACTAATTGACTGCCTGGACTCGGCCAGCCCCCTCTTCCCCGTGTGCGTCATAGTCGTGCCGTTCTTCTTGTGTTACAATTACCCTGTGTCTGATTACTACAGCCCTACCAGAGCGGACACCACCACCATTATGGCTGCTGGGGCTGGGGTGACTATAGGATGCTGGATCAATCATTTCTTCCAGCTTGTGTCCAAGCCGGCCGAATCACTCCCTGTCATTCAGAACATCCCACCGCTCACCACTGACATGTTAGTTTTGGGTCTGACCAAATTTGCAGTGGGAATTGTATTGATCCTCTTGGTTCGTCAGCTTGTACAGAATCTCTCGCTGCAAGTGTTATACTCGTGGTTCAAGGTGGTCACCAGGAACAAGGAGGCCAGGCGGAGACTGGAGATCGAAGTGCCTTACAAGTTTGTTACCTACACATCTGTGGGCATCTGTGCTACAACTTTTGTGCCAATGCTGCACAGATTTTTGGGATTACTGTGAGCCTCAAACAGTTGGAAATGAGCCCACTGGACATGAGAAGCAAGACATAGGAAAGTTGTAGGTGGGCAAGCGTTAACTCATTTTTCTTAAAAAAAAAAAAAAATAGCCAAGAACAGTGGCTCATGCCTATAATCCTAGCACTCTGGGCAGCCAACACAGGTGGATTGCTTGAGCTCAGGTGTTCAAGAGTTTGAGACCAGCCTGAGCAAGAGTGAGAACCCATCTCTACTAATAATAGAAAAATTAAGTCAGGTATTATGGCAGGAACCTGTAGCTACTTTGGAGGCTTAGGCAGGAGGATCACTTGAACCTAAGAGTCTGAGGTTGTTATGTTATAGCTAGGGTGACACCACAGCACTCCAGTTTGGGCTACAGAGTAAGAATCTGACACACACACACACACACAAAAGAAAGAAAATCTTCAGTCACAGGGTGATGCTACAGTTGAACCCAGGTGAAAAACCACAATTAAGATCTTTAGGTACATCTCCCCCAGCCCCCGTTCTGTTACTTGATCTTTGGACCTAGTCATGTGCTGGTAGAAATTGTGGCCTGGCTTAGGAATGGCTCTGAGCCACACTGAGTTCTAGTGAGCCGGCAGAGACGGGGGTGGGGAGGTGGGGGTGGGGGAATGGGGAGGCTGGAAGTGGAGCATTTCTTTTCATTTAGGGCCTTTGCTGAGCCCTGAATCTCATTTCCAAAAGGGGGACTTTGTTCCCCATATGAAACTGCATTCCCTGGTCAGGGTATCTTCCTTGTTATGATCTAAATGAACTGTGTCTGCTGGGGTGGTGAGAACACTCTGAAATTAAGCTTGCTGTGCAAAGCTTAAGGTGGCACAGCTATGAGGTCGGGGGAAGAGCCTGCTTTCCTTTAGGTGCTGTGAAATAGGGACCCCTCTTCCTTCTCCGTACATTTTGCAGGATTCCAGGCACACTTACCATGTTCTTCTGAGCCATGAAATAAATCAGCTGCTTCCACCTTACCAGGGAGGTGGGGGTTGGCCTTCAGCACAAGTGGACAGACACATCTGGGAGCCTTCTGCCTTTTTGTTTTCGTATAAACTTGGCGGAAAGTGGATCAGTAGAACAGATGCACCTGACAAAGAGGTCCAGGCCCCATGACATTGCCCGATGCCCCCAAGGCCTCCTTGACACCACTCCCTCTCTCAGTTCCTTTCTGTCCATCTAGAATCAGGGTCCCCCATCCATTTTCCTCTTCCCACCTCTTATCTCTCGGCTAATTTAAGGATAACTAAGGCAAGAACAACTTTAGCTTCTCTTGGGAAAACAAGCCACCCAAATAAAACCCCCATTAAAACTAAGGTCAGTCCTCCTTAGACTTAGGAAGGTGATCATTATAAAAAAACACCAGAGAATCACCTCCCTGGGCTCCTCTTCAGTTTTTAAAACTAAGAAACAGGTGTTAACACCTCTGTTAAAACTCAGTATAAATGTCAAGGTAACAAGGTATCTAGTGAGGTACAAGGCCTGAACCCCTGAAACCCATGTTTTATGAGCCTAACACATCATCGCCACACACAGACTTTGGGAAAAATTAGCCTCCTTGAAAGATACAGAGGGTCTTACCTCTGTCTGAATCTGGTCTTAAAGCAGAAAGCTAGGTTTTTCTTGATTTCAGATATGTCCTACTCCTTATTATTGGGATGATCTTTGGTATTTGACCTACTGCTTCAATTTCTAGAGAAAAATATTTTTTAGTAAAACATCCTGTTTTAAAAGTCTTCTCACATTTAACCATACTTAGAAGGAAGGGGTCAGAATGACCTTCCCTGACTGCTTCTCGGACTCAGGGAGAGCCCTGGCTTCAGGCTCCCAGCGCAGTCTGCTCTGCGCGCAGCGGCTGCTGGTTGGATGAGGCAGTTTCCTGGACTTCCGTCCCACCAGCTGCCAAACCGAAGATCCCCACACTGGATATTTACACAAAATGATTTTAGTTGATTTGTCTGAAGCCAGCTGGCAAAGGATCAGCTTTTCCCATTTGTATCTTTTAGAAAGAGGAGCTGTAATTATTGTCACAGCCCTGGGTATTGGCATTTCATAAACACATATATGTATGTTATACATAATTTTTATTGTTGTCTCATTTAAGTCCCAATAGGAAGGTCGATCAGTTGTATTGATGTATTTAAGATTGTATTTACCTTAATTTGGATTGAGGATGAATATGTTAGCCATAGAACATTAAAGAATGACCCTCAAATTTGTCATGGTCTGTCACTTTTTAAAATATCTGATTGCAGAAACTGGAATATAAGATATATATATATATATATGTGTGTGTGTGTATATATATATATGGCCAAGTTTAGTTTTTGAACACTCCTGCTGGGAGGCGTAGAATCAGGCAGCAACTGATAGAAAGAAGTCAGCACCTGATTCAGACTCTTGCTTCTACCCCCTTCCACTCATTTCTCAGCACTGTGCTCTCTTAAGTCTCTGACACCCTCACACACCACTGCACACCCCTTTGGAGAGAGGATGCCTTGCGGCTCCTTTAAGACATGGATTTTTTTCTGTCTGGGGAAAGACTGCCCCCTGCTGGTTTGGCTCCAGTCTTGGTCCAGAGCCTGTCTCTTGATCCAGAGTCTTGGCGATGAAGAATTTTTAAAAGTCAGGCACACCATCACGTAAGTCTAGAACCTGTGGCCTGGCCAAACTCGCTTTTGGGAACTATGACACCAAAGCCCTCAGGATTATTGGCCCTCCAGGAGCCAGGTGCGATGACCTGCCCTTCCCTAATGCACGCCATCCTGCCCCCAGACCACTTCCACTCTGGGCCAGGGAATCCATCCTGCAAGACAGACATCACTTCATGCCAGTGATGCACCGTCATAGAATACTCAGAAGATGAACATGTAGAAGAGACTCCTGAACTAAAATCCCTCAGGTGGCAGTGGCTGAAATCACTGCACAACATGCCCCATGGTCTCACTGTAACATGTGATTTCATCACCCCGACAGGCAACTCACACTTCCAGCGTAATCGGAGCATGTGGCGTTTCGGTGCCACATGCCCCAGGTTTCTATTTTGGAAGCTTGCAGCTGTCTTGCTTATGTACCGTATGTAAATTTATTCTTTTGAAAATAAAGAAAATCACTTGTTTATGACTTCTTATTAAATGCTTTAAAAGCTAGTGTTCTGCTTGCTTGGATTTTGGGGTTTTTTTAGAACACCCAGCAGGAGTGTTCATTAGCCCTAAGTTGAACAAAGAGGACAAAAATAAGTGGCAGGCTATATAATCCTCTGTTGTCATGATCCAGGGACATGCAAATGTCAGCCTCACGGTGCTCACAGGTGTGTGATTAACTGGAAATAAGTGTCACACTAGCACATTTAATAATACATCCTCTCTAAGTCTTTTATACAAAAGTGTGACCTTTTACCGTGTGTGGAAATAAATGTTGCTATATGTTGAACGGTCAGTGTGATCAGTGTTGCCAGTTAAGGTAACCAAATGGTTTTCAGAGATGAGTTCACCGCTGGACCAAATGCACACAACGCTCATTTGGATTCACATCATATTCACAGGCTGCTCTGTGTTCAAGCATCCCGTATTTGCTATTTGAGATGGTACAGAAAGTTGACGTGCTTATTAAAGGCAAATCTAGGACTCTATTTGTACTGTGAGCAGGATGTATTTATTACTTACAATGCCGGACACCACAGAGATGCGAAGCTCCAACCCACCCTGTGCAGTTTCCCAGCAAAGAGAAGAGAAGACACAGCTTAGAGAATTACAGTTCAAAATCAAAACTGCTCGGGCTACAGGGGAAGATAGCTATGATGTAGGAATTGGGAGGAGATTGCGCAAGCCAGGCTTGAAGAACAGATGGGCTTTGCACAGGAAATGTGAGGGGCTGGAGATAAGAGATGATACTCCAAGGCTGGGAGCAGCTTGTTGGTGGCACTCGCCCAAACTCCTCCAGCTCTTACAAGGAAAAGTCAAACCCGTGTCAGTGTGTGTGTGTAAGAATGACAGTGGCACTGATGGGGGAATACAAGATGAGCAAGGGGCTGTGACTGCAGAACCAAACCACAAGAATGGAAGGAGAGCAGAGGAGGTGACCTCCGGAGGTGGCTTCACAGACTCGCTTTGTCATACCTCATTCAAATACAGTTGACCCTTGAACACAAAGCCTAGGGGTACCAACCTCCCACACAACCAAAAACCTAGACATAACCTTTGACTTCCCCCAAACTTAACTACCAACAGCCTACTGTGGTCAGGAAGCCTTATGATAAACAGCCCATTCACACCTATGTTATCTTCCATGCATTATAGACCATATTCTTATATTACAATAACCTAGAGGGAAAAAAATGTTAAGAACATAATAAAGAAAAAACTGTATTTACTATTGATTAAGTGGAAGCAGCTCTTCATAAAGGTCTCTCCCACCTCGTCTTCATGTTGAGTAGCTGAGGAGGAAGAGGAAGGGTCGGTCTTGCTGTTTCAGGGCTGACAGAGGCAGGAGAATATCCATGTGTGAGAGAATCTGCACAATTCCAACCCGTGTTGTGAAGGGCAGCTGTATTTACCAGTCTGCCTGGGACTTTCCACCTCCGTCTCTGAACACACAGCATCACCCCTGCATCTTCTTGTTCCCTCTTGGTGGAGACGGCGACCACTAGAACCTCATTCTGGGTCTCCCGTGCCCACTGCCTTCCCTGGTTTTCTTTTTGCTCAGTTCTCTGAACTAGTCCTGAGAAACTTCAATTTAAAAATATTTCACCATGATCCTGGCTCTTTGGGGGACCTCCCCATGCTCCATGTCTCTCTTTACTGATTATGAATGAAGCCTGGTCCTCTAGCCAGGAGCTCCCCAAGAACCAAGTGGGAGGCATATAGCTTCTTTTAGACCAGCGGTTCTCAACCTGTGGGTTGCAACCCCTTTTTAACAATGAAAATACATTGCAGCATTAGGAAGGTTGAGAACCACTGTTTTAGACAATAGAAGTTTTCCTCAAAGCTGCTTGTGTTTCGATTTTTTTTTCGATTTGAATTATCAGTGCAATGAAGGGTTTGCAGTTTCAAAGTCATACGGCGATTCTTCATTTCTGTAAATGTTAAGGCCCTAA